TCATAAACATCTATTTTACATACAGTACAAGTAGGATGGTATAGTTTATTTTTGTCCTTGCAGCTGTCTTTGTAAATGGCATCCCTCTGAAGGTTATTTATTGCTTAAAGGAATCTGATGGAATTACAATAATCTAATGAATCTTTAATTCTTAAAATAATGAACATTCTTCTAATCTGCTACAAACTGAATGGGTTAAGTGTGCTTAGTTATAACGAGAGAGAGAGAGAGAGAGAGAGAGAGAGTGTGAGTGTGCGCGCGGGGAGGAGTGGGGAGTGGGAGGTTTATTTCATTTCAAACCTAGAGATCTAGTGATTTCTTATATAGATGACTACTAAATAGAAAGGGAGGTAAGATGATGAAACATGGAACAAATTGTATTGTATCTGCAAAAAATGCCGCAAATAGAACAGGGTTGGCTTTCTAACGGCAGTAGAGCAGATTTGTTTCCAGATTTTGTTTCTATATAATCTAATGAGAAAAAGGAGGAAGAAGGGACATTTGAGGACTTCAAGCCATTCATTGGGGAAGCTGAAGATACAGATGATCCAGAAACAACTGAGGGTTGGAGATAAGTCATTTTTGGGAAGAAGATGTAGCAGTTAGTACCTTGAACTCGTAACTACAACAGAATGGATTTATAGCAGTAGGAATATACTGCCAACCACCATGATGGTGATGGTGAAATGTTCAGGGAGATTAGAGAGGCTATGAAAATAGAAAACTCAGTAATAATGGGGGGTTTCAACTATCGCTGTATTGACTGAGTACGTCACCTCAGGATGAGATGCCGAGTTAAAGTTTCAACACCTCATAAATGACTGCTTCTTGGAGCAGCTAGTCATGGGACCCACAAGGTGAGAAGCAATTCTTGATTTAGTCCTAAATGTTACACAGAATGTGGTCCAAGGTGTGAGTATAACTGAATCTCTCGGTTATAATGACCATGCTATAAATAAATGTATCAGCCTTATGGGGTGGGTGGGGGGGGAATATCAAAATAGCCCATCACAGTGGTATTTAACTAAAGAAATGGGAACCACACAAAAATGAGGAAGCTAGTTAAACGGAAATGAAAAGGTACTGTCACAAAACTGAAATGCCTGCAAGTTGCATGGAAACTTTTAAAAAACACCACAATAGAGGCTCAATTTAAATGTATACCCCAAATTAAAAAAACACAGTAAGAGAACCAAAAAAGTGCCACCATGGCTAAACAACAAAGTAAAAAAAGCAGTTAGAGGCAAAAAGGCATCCTTAAATTGGAAGTTAAATCCTACGGAGAAAAATAGAAAAGAGCATAAAATCTGGCAAGTCAAGTGTAGAATTAGACAAACCAAAAAAGAATCTGAAGAGCAACTAGCCAAAGACTCAAAAGCTAACAGCAAAATATGTAAGTACATCGGAAGCAGGAAGCCTGCCAAACAAGCCGTGGGGCCACTGGATGATCACGGTGCGAAAGGAGCACTCAAGGAAGATAAGGCCATTGCGGAGAAGCAAAATGAATTCTATGCATTGGTCTTCACTGCAGAAGATGTGAGGGAGGTTCCCACATCTGAGCCGTTCTTTTTAGATGACAAATCTGAGGAACTGTCCCAGATTGAGATGTCAGTAGAGGAGGTTTTGGAACACTATTTAATTTATCAATTTAAGTCACCAGGACCAGATGGTATTCACCCAAGAGTTCTGAAGGAATTCAAATATGAAATTGCAGAACTAACAACTATGGTATGTAACCTATCACTTAAATTAGGTTCTGTACCAGATGACTGGAGGATAGCTAACGTGAAACATATTTTTAAAAAGGCTCAAGGGGCGATCCTGGCAATTACAGGCCAGTAAGTCTAACTTCAGTACTAGGCAAATTGGTTGAAACTATAGTAAAGAACAGAATTATCAGTCATATAGATGAACACGATTTGTTGGGGAAGAGTCAACACTGCCTTGGTAAAGGGAAATCATAACTCATCAATCTGTTAGAATTCTTCGAGGGGACCAACAAACATGTACTTGGACTTTCAAAAAGCCTTTGACAAGGTCCCTCACCAAAGGCTCTTAAAGTAAGCAGTCATGGGATAAGAGGGAAGGGTCCTTCCACGGATCAGTAACTGGTTAAAAGTAGGGCTGTCACTCGCAGCTACTGCTTGCGATTAACGCAAAACAAATGAACTAGATTTTCAAAGAAGTTACAATTAATCACAGTTTTAATACTGTTAAACAATAATAGAATACCAATTTAAATTTATTTTAAATATATTTTGATGTTTTTCTACATTTTCATATATATTGATTTCAATTACAATGCAGATTACAAAGTGTACAGGGCTCAATTTATATTTATTACAAATATTTGCACTGTAAAAAGATAAACAAAAGTAATAGTATTTTTTAATTCACCTCATACAAGTCCACTCAGCCCTACTTCTTGTTCAGCCAGTTGTTAAGACAAACAAGTTTTTCATTTACGGGTGATAATGCTGCCCGCTTCTTATTTACAATGCTAAAAATTTGTATACCCCTTCATGCTCCGACTTACAGGCTCTAAAGTTTTACATTGTCTTGTTTATGAGTGCAGTTAAAAAACCTTCTACATTTGTAAGTTGCACTTTCATGATAAAGATATTGCACTACAGTACAGTGTTACATATTACAGTATGAGGTGAATTGAAAAATACTATTTCTTTTGTTTATCTTTTTTACAGTATAAATATTTGTAATCAAAAATAATGTAAGGTGAGCGCTGTACACTTTGTATTCTGTGTTGTAATTGAAATCAATATATTTGAAAATGTAGAAAGACATCCAAAAATATTTATAATACATTTCAATTGGTATTCTGTTACTATTTTTTAATCTCGTGATTAATTGCAATTATGTTTTTAAATCATTTGGCAGCCCTAGTTAAAAGACAGGAAACAAAGGGTAGGAATAAATGGTACTTTTTCAGAATGGAGAGAGGTAAATTGTGGTGTCCCCCAGGGATATGTACTGAGACCAGTGCTATTTAACATATTTATAAATGATCTGGAAAAAGGGGTAAACAGTGAGGTGGCAAAGTTTGCAGACAATACAAAATTACTCAAAATAGACTGTGAACAGTCAGCAAGGGATCTCACAAAACTAGGTGATTGGCAACAAAATGGCAGATGAAATTCAGTGTTGATAAATGCAAAGTAATGCACATTGGAAATCATAATCCCCACTATACATACAACATGATTGCATCTAAATTAGCTCTTACCACTCAAGAAAGAGAGCTTGTAGTCATTGTGGATAGTTCACTGAAAACATCTGCAGCAACCAAAAAAGCTAAGAGAATGTTAGGAACCATTAGGAAAGGGCTAGATAATAAGATAGAAAATATCATAATGCCACTATATAAATCCATGGTGCACCCATACCATGAACACTGCGTGCAGTACTGGCTGCTCCATCTTAAAAAAGATGTATAAGAATTGAAAAAGGTACAGAGAAGGGCAACAAAAATTATTAGGGGTATGGAACAGCTTTCATATGAGGAAAGATTAAAAAGACTGGGACTTTTCAGCTTGGAAAAGAGACAACTGGGGGGAATATATGAGAGGTCTTTAAAACCATGAATAGGTGAAGAAAGTGAATACTGAAGTGTTGTTTACCTCTTCACACAATAAGAACCTGGGGTCACCCAATGAAATTAATAGGCAGCAGATTTAAAAGAAACATAAGGAAGTACTTCACACAGCATACAGTCTGTCTGTAGAACTTGTTGCCAGGGGATACTGTGAAGGCTAAAACTATAATGGGGTTCAAAAAAAAATTAAATATGTTCTTGGAAGATAGGTCCATCTGTAGCTATTAGCCAGGATGGTCAGGGATGCAACTTCATGTTCTGGATGTCCCTAGCCTCTGATTGCCAGAAGCTGGGAGTGGATGACAGAGGTGGATCACTTGATGATTGCCTGTTCTGTTCATTCCCTCTGAAGCACCTGCCATTGGCTACTGTCAGAAGACAGGATACTGGGCTAGATGGACCATTGGTCTGACCCAGTATGGACATTCTTATGTTGATTTCTAATGTATACCAACTTCTAGGTTCCCTGTGTTTAGTTGAAACAACAGATCTGTTACACAAAAGTATATACAACTACTTGATTCCTCTCCTGTTTTGATTATTTTTGGAACTTATTTTTTAAAAATTAAACATTTTTAACTCGGGTCATACTACTTACTGGATTAAAATAAAATCAACAAGTGTATGAAAAAATTCCTTGGTTGGTGCAGAAGAATGTGCCGAAGCTAAGAGCCTGTTCTCACTCTCACAGAAGTCAATGGCAAAACTCTCAGTGACCTCCCAAAAGGCAGGTTGACGCCCCACATTTCCTAGTAGATAGAAGCTGTCTTTACAACCTATCTGAGATCAGCCTCTTTAGTCCAAGATTGATAAACTGTATCCAGGGAAAAAAGGGAAATTCATGTACTTTGCCATGGCTTTGAAGTTTTTTCC